TGGGCAGGGGGGTATTCGGATGGACAAAATCAGCCTGAATGTCATGTGTTCCTTTCTGTTGAGAGGAAGAACTGACTTTGGATTTCTTTTTAGGATTTGGCTTTGTGGGAGAAGTCTTCCGTTTGGTAGATTTCTTAACCTTCGATCCGGACACGGAAGGGTTGGCCTTTTCCGAATCAAGCTCAACAGAGACTAGGGCGGATTGTATTGGGTCAAACACAACCGAAGTCTCCAAATGATGTTTCAAATAATTAGATTCGGAAGGAATTAAAGCTAGCATATGGTCCGGAAGTCGTCTAACCGGACCAAATGAGGATTGGTCCAGAATTCTATAAGCTTTGACAATTTTGAAGGAAACACATACCTCTGGAGGAATCACGAAAACAGGAATTGGTTCAGAAATCTCCTTGAAGAGTTGTTGGATTGTCAGTGCGCAGACTCTAGGGCTTGAAATTTCGTTATCCTTCCTCTTGATGGCAAACTTGCAAAAGTCTTGCCATAGAACCTCCATTAGATCAACAACATTTCTGCGTCCGGAAAAGATGTTGTAGACCACATATAGCCAGTCCTTGCTTAGAGTGTCCGTACCATCGTGCTTGTCGGACAGCCCTTGAATGATGAAGTTCATCAGCACTGTCCAAAGTCCAGAGATGGCTGATTTCTTAAAGTCTTTAGCCCTATAGTCTTGATTGTAGCCAAAGTGATTCAGGAATGTCTGAAACTCTTCAGTGGTAAGCTCTTGAACGCTGAAACCCTTGGGGTTTTCTTTCATACCGATGGCTTTGAGAAAAGTGGATTTGAAGATGTGCACAATCCTGTCGCCGATGATCTTAGTCTACAACACATCGTCTTCAACTTTAATGCTTGTGAATGATCTGTGAAGAGGATGAAGTGGAAGAGGTGGTTCAGGGACTTTAGTGAGAGAGACAGAGATTGGATGATTTAATATGAACTCAATCATTACATGAACAAATTCGTCTTAATCTTTAGGATTTAGGGAAAACAGTTGTGTCGTATCCCTGAGAAACGATTCAGGGGATGCTAAAGATGATGAACCTTTTGAGCGTTTCTTTTTAGCGATGGACTTCTTAGGAGTTGAGGAGGTTGGAGCATCTTTCGGCTGTGAAGATTGTGAGGCCATTGTTTAAGAGTGATGAGTACTTGATGAATACGAAGAACACAGAGAAAGTTTGAAGGTTTAGAGGGTTTGAGCGCGTAAAGAGGTAAAATGGGGTTTTGATGGGTATATATAGGTAAGGGAAATGGATCTGGTCAGTGAGGGTAATGATGTGGATCTGAATGTGAAACGGGTTGCATTTAATGAATAACTGCTTTTTGGGGGTTGAGTTGACCTGGGAAGGGAAAGGTTAGGTTGTTTGTAGTTTGAAATAGAAAAACCTAAATGGAGATTTGATGGTTGCTTTATGGAGGTGTGCAATCGTGTCACGAAAATCGAGGAAGATAGGATAAGGATCCTCTTAAAAGTAATCATTGTGAAATTGTTTCGCCTTATGGACCTTTGGTATTCCAGATGATCAATTCCGGACGGATTGAAAAACCAGTGGATAAAGAGTTGAGTTCCGAAACAACATTTCTTTAAAAAAGGTCCAGAGTAGAAATTAATTCGGAGTGAGTTTATAGTTCAAAAAGGTTTTCGATTGATATTCCGGAACTATGATTTAAAAATATGGAGTGAAATATCATATGAAGTATTTTTGAAAATTCCGGAATGAAAGAGTTTGATTTCAGATTCCGGAGTAAGAAAAGATAGAGATTCCGGAGCGAAATTCCGAAATGATGATTTTTGAGTTCCGGAGAAAAATAGCTTTCGACAGAGATTTGAGAAGCAGTCTGGAACAAGCTTTAAGAAAACTTTCGGAGTCAACATTTTAGAAGAATTTCGAAGTATAGCGAGCAATACCTTTCCGGAGTGGAATTCCGGGATGACCTTATGTAGTGAGTTCCGAGATGAAATAATTATCATTATGACTATGTGGACTTGGAACAACAAACAATCAGGATGAACTGTACAACTTAAAAATCAAGTGATGGTTAGAAATAAAAACTAATAAAATGATCTTGTATATTCCGAGAGAAAGCAGTTCCGAAAAAAAAATATTTTTAAGTCGGAACCAATTTTCTTTCGAATACGTTCATCAGAGAGAATAGATCTCTTGAAAAAACTGAGGATCTGGCATCATCATACCCATCTTGTTTAGAAAACCATTAAATTTGGTTTTGTCTAATGCCTTAGTAAAGACATCAGTAATCTCATCGTTAGATGGAACAAAATTGAGTTCAATGTTTCCATTCAAAACATGGTCTTTTATGAAATGGTATCATATATCAATGTGCTTCGTCATGAAGTGCTGAATTGTATTATGTGAAATTGAAATGGTACTTAAGAATCACAATAGGTGGGGATGCATTGAAAGAGGTAACCATAATCCAAGAGTTGAGACTTCATCCATAGACCTTTAGAGGTACAGTTGGCAGCAACAATGTATTCGGCTTCAGCTGTAGAGAGAGCAATACAGTTATGTTTCTTGGATAACCAACTAACCAATCGACCACCTAAGAATTGACATCCACCTAATGTGCTTTTCCTATCCGGTTGTAGTCCACCATAGTTTAAATCTGAGTAGGCTTGTAACAGGAAACTCTCATTTGTTGGGTACCAGATTCTGAGGTTCTTAGTACCTTTAAAGTACTTGAAAATTTGCTTGACAACCAAAAGATGAGACATATTCGGGTTGAATTGAAATTGGGCACACAAACATGTGGAAAACATGATGTCCGGACGACTAGTTGTGAGATAAAGCGGAGATCCAATCATTCATCTGTACTTCTTTTCATCGACTACAACAGCTGAAAGGTCAGCAACAATCTTGTGTCCGAATCCCATAGGTACCTTGGCAGAGGCACAAGTGTCCATTGAGTACTTTTTGAGGAGTTCTGGAATGTACTTCTCTTGGTGAATGAAAATTCCTCTGTTAGTCTGTTTGACTTGGATACCAAGAAAGAAACTTAACTCACGATTCATGCTCATTTGGAATCGATTGATCATTAGCTTAGCAAAGTCAGCAACCATTGATGAGTCCGTAGTTCCAAAAATGATGTCGTCCACATAAATTTGAACCAACATGAGATGCTTTCCATTCGATCTTCGTAATAGAGTAGGATCCAGAACACCTCTTTGAAAACCAAAGCGCTTGAGAAAGTTGGTGAGGATCTCGTACCATGCACGAGGAGCTTGCTTAAGGCCATAGACTGCCTTCCAGAGTTTATAGCAATGGTTCGGAAATGCAAGATTGATGAATCCGAGAGGCTGTTGAAGATATACTTCAGTGTCAAGTTCACCATTTAAAAAAGCACTTTTAACATCCATTTGGTAAACTTTGAAGCCTTTATGAGCAGCATAAGCAAGGAAGATTCTGATTGCTTCAAGTCGCGCAACAGGAGCAAAGGTCTCATCGTAGTCGAGGCCTTCAATCTGAGTAAAATCTTTAGCCACCAGTCTTGATTTGTTTCGAGTGATGACTCCTGCATCATCTAATTTGTTGGCAAACACCCATCTTGTACCGATAATAGGATGATTCTGAGGAGGAGGGATGAGAGACCAAACTTCATTTCTATCGAATTCTGCCAGTTCTTCTTGTATGGTTGTGATCCAATTAGTATGTTCAAGTGATTCTTTAATGGATTTGGATTCAACCATGGAGATAAATGTCGATAAGTGACATTCATGTTGAAGACTTGCAACAGATCTAGTTTGTACACCAACATTTGGGTTTCCGATTACTTGGTTTGGAGGATGATCCTCGGTCCATATGTGTAACCTTGGAAGTTCTTGAGTCACAGTCGTACCAATATCAATGATAGGATTGAGTTGCTCCCCCTGACTGGTTTGAACTTGAGGATGATGCTCCCCCTGAACTTTTGAACATGAGAGATTGACATCATTATCAAAAGGGAACTCAAAGAAGTTTTCATTTTCATCATTGTTGATCAGATTGGAATCATTGAAGTCAGCAGCTACATCTTGAAATCCATTGACATTTAACTCAAGAGAAGGTTGATCATTCTACCCCTCAACCTATGAAGGTTGTATCGGTTCGGAATCAAATGGATGAAGGCTTGGAATTGGACCGGAGACATTTTGAGAAATAGGAACATATGGAGAGGCATGATTCCTTATATGAGATTCCGAATCAAGAGTTGTTTCGGAGGGTCCAAAGAGAGTTTCAAAATCTACTTCATGTATTACTTGAATGTTCGTACATTCCGGAGGAGGAGCATTGGACTCCATAATGTGAGTGGGGCTAGAATTCCGAACGAAATTGTCATCAAAGGTAACATCAAAACTTTCTTCAATAACACGAGTACGTTGATTGAGGACTCGGTAATCCTTTGATTTTGAGGAATATCCAAGGAAAATAGCTTCGTCAACCTTGGGTTGGAACTTGGTAAGCTGATCACGATTATTCTTGATGAAGCATTTGTATCCGAAAACATGAAGAAACGAGATTGTTGGCTTCTGTCCATTCATGGCTTCATACGGTGTTTTGTTGAGATGTCGATTGATGATACTTCTATTCTGAGTGAAGCATGCAGTGGAAAACGGCTGTAGCCCAAAGATAGAGAGGAAGATTTGCAAAATTTAGAAATGATCGAGCAGCTTCAACTAGAGTTTTATTTCTTCGTTCGACTACACCGTTTGTTGAGGAGTGTATGGAGCATAAAAATTACGGTCAATGCCCTTCTCGGCAAGGAATTTTTCAATGGTGGAGTTTGTGATTTCTGATCCATTGTCACTTCGGATTCACCTTACTGGGAGTTTGATAAGAACTTCCATTCCTTTGATGAAATTTATGAGCTTGAAGGTTGTTTCTGACTTTAGTCTGAGGAAGAAAATCCAAGTGAACCTAGTGAAATCATCCACAATCACAAGAATGTACTTTTTGTGATGTAAACTTTCAACTGTTCATCAAGAGGTAATTATGTGCGAAGTCCCAGCTCCAGTTTCTCCTCACTCAAAGAAACGAAGGGTTGAGGATATGGCCAAGAAGATTTCGAAGAAAAATAAGAAGACAAAGAATAGGAAGTTAGTAATTCCAACGGAATCATCCGAAGAAGAAGAAGTTCCTGAAACACCCGAACCCGAACCTATTATAAAGCTTACTTCTCCTGAGAAGACTGTTGTCATACCATCCGCAGTTTCGTCTACCAAATCATCTCATGAGGAGGTACGAACTTCAGACATCACTAAAAACATATCTGATACGGATGTAAATGTCATCATGGGTGAAGGAGATCTATCGAAGGAAACTACTGAACCTCCACAAGGTACTCCAGTTACTGTTTCTGTCGAACCCATTACTAGTACTTTTGTTTCTTTACCTCCATTTATCATCCCTAATACTTCCACCACTGATTCACCAACCTTTCAAAACATCATTTACCAACCCTTTACATCCATTTTTTTCATCTCAATCCACTGATCCACCCAAAGCGAATGATGAATCTGATAATGAAGATGGTGGCTTTGGTGATACTTTTGAAGATATGACTTTTGATGAAGAAGAGGAGGATTTCCCTGACGATATGCTCATGTTCATGAAACAATTCAAAATACTGAATAAAAAGTTGAATTCAATTATTCAGTCTCAAGCAGACATGGGTGGAGGAAGTTCAGTGTCCAGTTTCGAAATTGATGGACTGATAAAGGATTTTGAGGCGTGAATGGTGAGCAGAGTGTCTGGTATGATCAAAGACTCAGAATCAAGAATCCTGGAGAATGTAGATCATACTGATCAGACAACAGAGTTGAGGATAAATTCTTTCAATTCAAAATATGTGGGAGCTGTGAAAGAGTTAACGAATGTTCAAAAGGAACGACACACACTGTTCGTTATGGATGTGAAGAAGGTGAGAGAAGATGTTAATTTGAAGCTTCAAGAGCTTCGTGATGACATTGTTCATGAAGTTTCAGTTGTTCAAAATGATTATGCTACTCTGTATAAGAAAGTTGATATTATTTGTGATGCTGTCATGAAATATATTACGTTGTACGAAAGCTTGAGTCCTCAAATTACTCAACTTTCTACAACTGACAATCAACAGTTTGGGGAGGTTATTTTGATGCTCAATGATTTGAAGGAGTCGGTGCTCAAGCCTGCTACATCTTCGATAATTACTCCAGAGTTTCTCTCACAAAAGTTTACACAGTTCGAAGCCATTCTCCATAAACAACTAGCTCCTCTGTCAACCATTTTGAATCTTCTGCCAACTGGTGCCCTACCTGTTCGAACAGGGGTGCAAGGGGGAGAAAATAGAGTTGGAGAAGGTTATCATGCGAAGGATGAAGGTGATTCTTTGCATGGAGAAGCTAAAGTTGTGGGCAAATTTTATCCTTCAAAAATTCCAACAACTAAGCCAATAATTTTGAGTGCTGGACCAGTTACTTCAACTGTTGTAACGTCCATGCCAATCACAAAGTCGATCACGAAGGGAATTGTAATTGGATCATCTACTGGCCAAGGTGAGGCTTTGAAAAAAAAAGATTTTACAGATAAGTCAATAGACAAAGGCAAGATGATTGTTGTTGAAAAATCAAAAGAAGAGAAGAAATCAGAGGTCGAAGCAGAGATTGAAAATCTAAGGGTAGTTCAGAGCATAATGAGGCAAAGGGCGAGTGATCCTCCTGGTTTGAACAAAGGAGATCCTGCCAAACATTATAACTACAAAACAATTGAAGCGAAGGTGGCATTCAATCACATGTATGCATTCGAAAGAAACCAAAACAGAGTTATGGGGTTTCTAATGCAGACATGAGTCAACTTGACTTTCTGATTAATGAGATGATGCTTCTGATGCATCAGTTTAAAGTTTCGGATAAATTCAAAAGCGAAAATGATTACAACTACATGAAGCTTCATTTTCATGCAGTTCTTACAAAGGCTCTAGAGGAAATTTGGTCACTGATAAAAATCAAAAAGGTTATAAGCATCAAGATGGACGTATTATTCGAAGATATGATGCAGAATGTGAGATTCATTGTTGCAAGGGCGAATGGTCAAACTTGTGATTTCACAGTCTCAGATTTTGCTCTCATGTATCTGTATGACCTTATACAAATGGCTCCTCTCCTAAAAGATAAAAATTCCTCATACCTTCGAGAAACCGAGCCTGATGTTTTTCGACTAGGAGTGGCTCACATCAAGATTTTCTTAGAGAATTATTACGAGTGTTTAGCACTTACAGATGTGGAGCTAGCAACAATGAAAGGGATTGAAGTCAAAGTAACCATGGAGCCATCCAAGTCTCAACAAGAATTAAAGAAATATGCTGATGGGGAAATATGTTTAAAGCCTTTCGGTTTGGTATTTGCTGGTAAAGATAAAGCTGGAAAGTCGAAGAGATTTTTGTTCCAAGCCGCAGAAATTGAAAGATATACAACGTCTCAATATACGAACTTCATTGTTCGTATGAATAATTGCAAGAAAAACAACGAATGAGATAAGAAGGAGATGAAGAAGATTATTTCTTGGTTCACAGAAGTTCGAAGGGTGTTGATGTATGCCATCCAGATTCTCACAACCTGAGAATTCGACTTCATTCCAAATGGGGATATTGTTATGGTAGAAGACATTTTGTAATGAGTTAAAGGCCATACCCTTCGTGTACTTTGTAATGTATTTACTAAGGCATCTTATATGTTCGAAGCTTAATTGTCATGTCTTAGTATTTTTTGTTACTTTCCTATTCCTTATAAATAGGAACTTACTTAGAGTTAGAGAAGAAGTCTTGACAGAACTTGTCTTTATTCTCTCTGTAAAACTGTGAAAGCATAATAGAGTTGAAACAAGATCATATTTACATCTCGTGTTCTTTCATATTGTATTTACTCTGATTTGATTCTCATTACTCGATTAACGATTCTTCAATTGTGCCTTGGCCCAACTTAATGAAGGGATGGAATGGATTGTTACCATGTGTTCAGGCCCTTGGCCAGGATTGGTATTCAACTGTTGACTTAGTATTTGTATATTTTGTTAGTTAGGGATTCTCGGTGAGTCAGCAATCGGAGATTTCAGTACAGTTAGACATTGTGAGGTGAGTTTTCCTCACTGTACTAACAGTATCGAAGGCACCAATGCCAGTCGTTTGATTGATATCCTGATATTGTTGCTATGTCGAGTACGGAATAGATATGCATGAGTATGCTAGTTATTGATATGCTAGTCTGGTAGATCTGTAGGATTGCATGTGATATTGTGTGATTATCCCTATAGGGTATTATCTATTATATGTTTCACATATTGTATGGGTTGGGTTAAGGTTGTATTGCTTTGTGTTGTAGACAACAAATCCTGAAGTATTCCCGATATGAGTTGAGGGCCAAGGAGGGCATGTCGGACTCATACTGAGGACTCATTAGCATTCCAGATATGAACTGAGGGCCAGGAGGGTATTCCAGACTCATATTGAGGGATCATTTGCATTCTATATACGAGCTGACGGCCGTAGTGCATGCCAGACTCGTACTGTGGATTGGGGAGCAATCAAGACATAAGTTGAGGGCCCAAGGGACAAGCTAGACTTATGATGTGGGCTCAGGGGTAATCCAATATGTTAGCTATGGACCCATTGCATGTTGTTATTTGTATATGTTCTACTGTTTGTGTGTTGGTAGTTGGTACTTTGGGGGAACTCACTAAGCTTTGTGCTTACAGTTTCAGTTTATTGTTTCAGGTGCTTCAAATGTTTTGGCAAGGTGAACGCATGACCATAAACCTCCTTATGTTTTTGGACTTATGGTTTCCAGGAAACTCTGATAATGTGAATGTTTTGAAAAATATGTGTAAATGATTATGGTTTTAAATAATTTTTTTGAAAACAATGGTTTTGTAAACACTTCTATAGAAAATGGATAGTTTTGGAAAGTTTAAATTTTACTGAAATTTTATGGATGTTATAAGTTGGTATCAGAGCCTTGGTTTGAATGAATTGGAGGAACACTCGTTTGAATCTAATCTCAAACTAGGGAAATGATTTTCAAAATAAAAAGGAGGATGTGATGTTTACAATCAGCCAGAGCCACTAAGTTGACCCCAATTTACCACACAATTATTTGAGATTATGTGATGACATATTATGCTAGAACAACATGCTAGTAATAAGATACGGTTCTTTAGGAATTGCATGATAGGATTTCTTGATTATATGATTCCTGATAGCTTAGGATTCTTCTTTATATGAAATTGACATCATTATTGTAGTTGCTTAGTGTATGCATCATAGTTGTACATAACTAAGATTCTATAGCATGAGAATGTTTGGTTTGGCCTCATTTTCTGTTCTTGAGAAGGGCTTAGGGTAGGATCAGGTATTCGATTGTCAATAGGATCCAGTGTCATGTATGGCTAGCATACACAAGTGCTGCAAGGTTGGTGGAAGTTTCATGATGGGGCGTGGTGCTTAGTGGGTCAGCACGAGGAAGGATTAGCCACTCTGAAGAGAATGAGAGAATGACGAAGGTGAATTTGTGGCATTAGGAATTTGAGATCGAGGATTTCGTACGAGGATCTTCCTAATTTTATTGCATTTTAGTGCCAGTCTACTCCCCTGTACGAATGTTGATTGCTCTGTGCTTTCTGAAATTCATGAGTGATGTGAGTGAGCTATTAAGTGAATATGTCAAGTCACATGTGAAAAAGGTTGATAATCTCAGAGTGACGGATTTGACCCTGCTGTGCAACTCTCGTTTGAGTCCAACCGTTGTAGGGATCAATTTGTTGCTCGAAGGATTATCCGAGCTTTGTTTCATGTGATTGTATTGATGAAATAGCTAATTGATGTTGTGAGGAGTTCTTCAACAGCTGATGATAGAGAAGTGTGGCACCTTAGGATAGCCTAGGGAGTATTTAGTGTGGTTGTTTTGCCAATGAGCAAGTTTCAGAAGTATTTTGTGACTAGGACTTAGAGGACTTGAGATAATTCTTGAGGAAAGTACGGATAGGTGTTGAAGGTAGTATTGGGTCCGTACTACTGAAAGCATAGTATCCATACTCGAATCAAGGAAGATCTTGGGGATTCTAAGGGATGGTTAGAGAAGGTGGTATGATTGGATACTATGGTTTGTGGCAGTGGTTTTGTTCCTGTTGATCTTTTGGTTGTGGTTGCTCAGACATGAGGATGGTCCTGGTATCAGGGAAGGTGGTATGAGGGATGTTGTTTAGGTCCCTTCAAGGAAATTGAATGAGGTGAGTATCTTTAGGCCCGAAGTACCGGGCAAATGTTGTAATACCGACATGGTCGGTGTGGGATCGAGAGCATTCCAGACATGGGCTGAGGGCCAGAGAGGGCATTCCAAACTCATGTTGTGGGCTCGGAGGCAATCCAAACCTATGTTGAGGACCTGGTGGAGGTATTCTGGTCACAGGTTGTGGACCTAATGGTCAGGATTATTCATTTAATTTATTTGTGATACTCTCGGTAGTGACGCGTTGATGGAGATCGAAGAACCGATAAGTCAGTTGGTTTGGATAGGGAATGGTCAAGGGCTGTTGGGAGTGCCAATCGGGTATCAGAATGAATCTGTAAAATGTTTGCTCCATATTTATGTTTGCTCGCAAGTTGTTGTTAGGGATCAGATTAAATGCGAAAGTTATTGGTTTGATTATCTTCTTTCGTCGGTTCGGAGGTTGGTAATGACATGACAGAGAGTCAAAGGTTATACT